CAGCAGGAAGTTTAAACCATAAAGACTACATCACAATTATAGTTTTTTTTCTGAAACCAATTCAACAAAGAGCTGGGTGGGTTCAACAGAATAGCATTGAGCTATATGGATAAAAAGACATGATAATAATTCATTCAACAATGGCTGTCTGCTGAAAAATGCTGACTTTGCATGCAATGTATAAGCAACAAGGTTTCAAACATTTGCGCCTCATCCTGTCTACCAAGATACCTTCATCTGGTTGTTTTTGAAGGCAACATTAATGTATGCTTGATTTTCCATTAAAAACATTGTGTGGGAGGTTAAATTATGAGAAAGTTAATAAATAAATTTCAATTTTAATGTTCTATATTTTTTCTAAACCTGTTATTCCATTTTTATACAAAAATACATTTTTTTACATTTTTATTAACTAAATGTTTGCTTGGTCATCACTAAAGTTGACTAGAATTTGTTTTAGACCATTAGAAAGTATGTTACTATGTTTTTGGAAGCCTGTTTGAAACAGTTTCGGCACCATCATACACAAAATGCTGCCATTCACTAACTAGGCAACAATGCAGTTGCCTTTTCAGACACCGTCAATGACTCACTGACCCACATACACATACCTGAAGAAAAAAAAAACTTCTACAGTAGATCCCATCCCTTAAACAACTGCAAACATACTGAGCATGAACTACACTAAGCAGTTTTGTTCTTTCAAAACAAAAATCTTAGACAATATTATGTCTGTGTTATAAATCTACAGTTGCCACACATTTCACTAATGCAAATATATAAATGAGCTCTCTGCAGGTATTGCCTTCTTCATATACATACGTTTTGTTTATTCTAGTAGCATATCTTGAGTAGATGCCTAACAGGTGAATGGCAACGTTGCATGCAAATTTGAAATTCATTACCTTTTAATGTTTTTATATTTTATAGTCCTTCTATGGAGGCGTATATTGTATTTGCATGGAGTGCAAATAACTCATATTGAAATGATTTATTTTAGAATTAGTTTACATTATTTGTGTATGCATTTGCTTAACAAAACATGTCTAATATATTTCAAGTTATCTTTATTTCAAGTTATAGTAACTTTTGTTATCTTCTACTTGCTTAAAAAAAATTTAAATTCACTTACCGCTGCAGGTTTGTACCTGTGGCTGTTTCCGTCTGGTACCGGTAGAGAATGAATGCACACTAAGCAGCATAAGACTGCAGCGAGAAGCTGTGCAGATCGCATCATCCTGATCGGATTCAGAGCTGCACGCACCACCTGCGCGCGGGCCACTTTACTATACGAGCGCGAGGGAAGGCAGGGAGAGCGCGCGCGCCTGTCTGTCGAGCTTTACTCTGACCAAGTACGGACTAGCCGAGGGATTTTATACTCTCTGATTTCTTTGTTCTCTATTCTTCAAATTACACTTTTCTTTCAGAGGCTGGAGTGGCAAGCTCACCGGCAATCACATGATTCAGCCATCCATTCCTTTGGCGCGCTCCGTCGCGAGAGGGGCGACGGTGGGTAGAGAGCAGGATTGGTTTTCAGTGATGTGGCTTAGTAAGAGAGGTTTAGATAGTGACTGTCCTCTCTAACATTTGGATAAGTAATGATATGCTGTTGACATTTTGTCAGTCGCTATATTGACGACGTGTCTGCCTGCTAGTGTTAAAATTTGTGATTTTATTCCAGTTTATGAAGTGCGCCTGTTTAATTGAACCCTCGTGTTCTTTTGCATATTATATTAATTTACTAATTAAAAATAAATAAGCTTTTAATTAATTTACAAATAAATGAATATATATATATATATATGTATGTATATATATATATATATATATA